CTGAACCGTCTTTTCGTCGTAAATTGAAACATAAAAAAATGTCTGTTCCTGATATTTATCAAAAGAATTTATTTTTACAAGGAAAGTGTGTTTAGTCGAAGTGGCCTCTCCAGATGAGACCCATACCGCTTTGAAGAGCATTAGGCGGTGATTCCAAATCTGCCTTCCAAGTCTGCTCAGCGCCTCTGGACGCCGAGTTATGGGTGTTTTCCGAGCAAAAAAATTGAACGCAAAACTTCAACAAAATCGCCCAAATTTGCTCAAATGGTTCAGTGTTAAGTGTCAGAGCCGTTCATGCAATGGATGCATTTTGTCTATTACGCTAATAGTTAGCACTGCTTTATCTGAGCGCTGGAAAGATTGTAACAATCGATTTTACCTAAATTTTGCTTTCATTTTTCGCTCTTAAAGGCATCGTCCAGGCAGATCTGGACCTATGGGGCTTTTACGTGCAAAGTCCTTTTGGGGCCCTAACTAAGGCACTGCCCAAGCGGCAGCTCGGGAAGTGCTGTAATGGCTGAGATATTCCCCTCGAAGCTGGCCCCCGCGAACGTAATCGCATGGATTCATGGCAGTTTCGCGCCAGGATCCACGCTTTGCGCCATGAACCCATGCGAAACACTGTCGCGGGGTCCAGTTTCGAGGGAAATATCTCAGCCATCACAGCACTTCCTGAGCTGCCGCTTGGGCAGTGCCTTAGTTAGGGCCCCAAAAGTACTTTCCACGTAAAAGCCCCATTGGTCCAGATTTGTCTGGACGCTGCCTTTAAGAACGGTCATAACTCGGCGTCCAGAGGCGCTGAGCAGATTTCGAAGGCAGATTTGGTATCAACGCTTAATACTCTTCAAAGCAGTATGGGTCTAATTTGGAAAGGCCACTTCAACCAAACACGCTTCCCTTGTTAGATGTTTTGGTCCCTCACAGGTAGTCTCACTGACATAATTCATTCGGATAGTATTCGAAAATCGAATGATATTCGAAAATCGATCATCATTCGAGAACCGAATAATATTCGAAATTCAAATATCGAATGATATTCGATATTCGAATATTATTGATGTGGAACGCGTTGAGCCGTTGACAATTTATTAGAAAAACACAAGAGTTCCCCCCTCTGCCTATCGGAGTACATGCCGAGGGTTCACTAGGAATAACTAGAGAACAACACACAAATATATCAAAGTGCGGCGGGTACGCCGCAACCACAGAGACCATATCGACCTAGCCTATAGTGAGCGAGCAAGTTCTAATAGAAGGGACGGCTCTACAACACCTCCCTCCTAAGATGAACAACGGTACATCTTATAACAAGGATCTAATTGTAGAGGGCGACGATGGCGACTTGGTCTGGTTGATGTCAGTGGCGTAGACGAGGTGGCTTGGTGTTCAGCAGCATCCATACCATTGTTACGTCGGCCTTCGTCGAAGATAGACTGTGTTGAGTCATGACGTCGATCCATACTTGCTGCGCGGCGCATCTGGTTCGCATGTCTTCTCCATAACTGATTGTCTTCAGTAAGCACGCCATATAATGCTTCTCCGTAGCGTCTCTCCACTCGAGCTGGAATCCATTTTTCACATCCAGAGCGAAGATCACGTACCCACACGGCTTCTTGTGGCTGGTACGCTCTCTTTCGTGCTCCATGGTGGCGGTTGAACTGCTTCTCCATGTTTTCATTGCCCATTCCTTCTTCTATGGAGTCTTCATTCAGCAGCAACAGCGGTGTCCTGATCTGACGTCCCAGGAGCATCTCAGCAAGCGAACGTTGTTCTGGAGCAGTTGTACAAGGCGTTCGTCGATAAGACTGTAGAAACTCTGCAAGCTTCTCTGCCGTTCCTCCCTCTTCAATTTTCTGGAAGGTTCTCTTGAAGATATCCACAAACCTCTCCGCTTGTCTATTTGATTGTGGATGGAATAGAGGCGAACGCATATGCTTGATTCCTCGCTCTTCACAGAAATCATGGGACTCCTTTGCTGTGAACTGCGTCCCATTATCCGACACGATCACACGCGGATTTCCAAATCGTGCGAATAGAGATCTGAGTTCCTTTGGAGTAGCTGTAGGACGATGAATGCATCTCAAATACTTTTGGCCATTTCGAGTAAGCGTCAACTAGGACAAGATACATCTTACCATTCAACGGCCCTGCGTAGTCAATATGAAGTCGATTCCATGGTTTGTCTTCTACTTTCCATGAATGCAGCAATGTCTTCACTGGCATTTTGGAGAATTCCTGACAATCCCTACAGCGGCGCACTGAATCTTCAATTTCTCTGTTGATGCCCATCCAATATGCGAATCCTCTCGCGAGCATCTTCACCCTTGTCATTCCAGGGTGTCCCTCATGTAATTGCTTCAGAACGGCGTGTCTCAGCGAGGCTGGAGCGACTATTCTGTGGGCGAAATACAAACATCCGTTCTGCACTGATAAATTATCCCTCAGTGCTCTCCAATTTTGGACTTTTTCTTTAGGCTTGGACGGCCATGCTCCCGATTGCAGCATTCGTATAACTTGCGCAACTGTTTCGTCTTTGCGAGATTCTTCTTCTCTCTTTCTTCGGGTTACTGGTAACGCTCGTACAGCAGCTTGGGCGGCTCGCACATCTTCTTCTATTTTTGCTATGACGACGTCTTCGGTCTAGAATGGCGTTGGAGGGATCAGTCGAGACAGCGCATCGGCTTGTCCGAATTCGGTCGTCTTGCGGTACTCCAGGTCAAAGTCGTATGCGAGTAAAATGAGCTTCCATCGCTGCAACCTGTTCGCTGTACACAGGCACCATCTTCTTGGGTCCAAAGATGTGTAGCAGCGGCATCGGTAAGCAATCTGAACCGTCGTCCGTACATATACCGATGGAACTTACGAACTGCGAACACCAGTGCTAGTCCTTCTTTCTCAAATTGTCCGTAGTTCCGTTCTGCTGCTGTGAGGCTTCGGCTTGCATGGCAAATAGCCTTTTCTGTGCCATCCGTAATCTTGTGTAAGATCACCGCCCCGATTCCGTAGTCCGATGCGTCGGCGGCTACCACTATCTGCAATTTTGGATCGAGGTGTGTGAGGAATAGATCCGAAGATAAAACTTCTTTGGCACGCTTGAATGCGTTTTGACATTCTTCTGTCCATTCGAACTTTACGTCCTTCTTGAGCAGTGCGTCCAGGAGTGCACGAAGTTGGCGCATCTCTGCTACAAATAATCCATAGTAGTTAATCATACCAAGGAATGATTGAACATCCGCTATGTTCTTCGGAGCTGGCATCTGTTGGATAACCTCGATCTTCTTTGGATTCGGCCGGCGTCCGTTTTTGTCGATAATGCAACCTAAGTAACAGATCTCTGGCATTGGAAAGTTGCATTTTTCCAACCTGACGTGGAATCCGTAATCGATTCGCTTGAACAAGGCTTCCAAGTTTTGACGATGTTCCTCGTAACTCCTTCCAGTGATGATGATGTCATCAAGATAAGCGGCTACTCCATCAAGCCCACTTATCATGGAATCCATGATCTGTTGGAATATACCTGGAGCCGATTTCACTCCAAAGGGAAGACGATTGTGCGTATTGATAGTTAGCATCTCCTTCGATGCTTCCTCAACTTCCACCTGTAAATATGCCTCGGCCAAATCGAGCTGAGTGAAGAGCTGGCCTCCATTAAGTTTGGTGAACACATCCTCCGCTGTGGGCAATGGGTGCTGATGCAGCTGCAATGCATCGTTGGTCCCATCGAGAAGTCGGCGCATAGACGGATCCTGCCATTCTTTTTCTTGACGGCGACTATTGGAGCGGCCCATTCTGAGTGTTCCACGGCAGAAATAACTCTTTCGGCTACCAGCCGATCAACTTCTGCCTCCAGTTCCGGTGCTGTGGCGTATGGAACTGGTCTCTTCTTCTTGAAGACTGGGACAGCATCCTTTTTCAAGACTAATCTGGCCTTGCTCTTCTTACATTTCCCTAGTTCACTCTTGAAGACATCCGGATACTTGTTCTTCAAGTCGGCGACAACTTCGGCTCGAATTGCTTCTTCGCTAGTCACCTTCCTAGTTATACTTGGTCTTCAATTTCTTGTAGGCTGGCAATTGGATGCACCACTCCAATCCTAGGAGTTCGAGCCTTCGGTGACATAGCAGGTTCCTCTTCCATGGGCCATCCGTCCTGTAGCTCGATCTTTGACCTTGAAATCAGTTGAAAATTTACCATCGATCTGCATTGGTGTCCCATCTGCAGTTTTGACAGGCATCACGCACGGTTCTAAAGCTGGAGATCCTATCCTCTTCCAGGCTTTACGAGATATCGGCGTTATATCCGCACCCGTGTCCAATTGGAGCTTGAGAGGACATCCTTGAGCACAACTTCAAGGTAGGTGCGGGCGTTTTCGGCGTCGAAGGCGATCACTTTCTTGCATTTTCCTCTTCGACCACAGGGCTGAGTCCCTGTCTTCCGTCGCTTCCTTCGGCCTGTTCTAGGGGGTTTTTATCCACCCAGAAAGGCATGCCGCCATGTAATTAGCAGGGGACACGAGAGGTCGTGAACTGTCAGCAACGTTAATTTGCAATTGATCTGCACCGAAGACAAGCAGATTTTGCTCACGACAAATACGACATCATCCTACAGCGTACGAAATCGGGATCTCATTGAAATTTGAATTCATAGTTCAGTAGTGAAATTAGTCCAACTAGGGTAAAAATTTGTATTTAGGGGTAATCTGCCATGCTCGTTCCAAATATGATGGTGGTTTTGCGTGAAAACTCAAAATTTTCTCTTTTTGAATTTTAATCTGTTCAAATTTTTAGGAGCCTTTCATTCCCATAGGCATTTTTGGTCATCTCATTGCTGTGGGTGTACTCGTCGGCTCTGTATTCGCATATCATAATATCTCACTTTGACAGATATTCTCAAGCCACGTGCATTGCAGCCATGCCTATCAATGCTGATGAAAGCAAATGTTTTATCATTTTACAAGAGTTAAATGATCATCCAGTAGCTGCTCTTTAAGGAAACTAATTGTAGTGTCCAAAATTTAATAATGTCAGATCTTAATGATAGCTGGGAATCTTTCCCGATCCTTCAAACTTTTTCAGCTTTATTGAATTTTTTCTTACCTTATATCAAATTTTGTTATCATTTTTTTAATAATTCTATATCATTTTTTTCTAGTTTTTCTCAAAGTAGCATTCTTTCTCATTTGTTTTCCAGTTTTATCATTGCAATGAAATTTACGAAAAAATCAGAATATCAAAAGAAAAAGTCTTCAAAGTTTTCGGCGAAAACATTAGCATATCCGAAAACAGCATCATGGAAAACCCACAAATGACAGTTTTGCCAGAAAATTTTTGAAAACAAGATTAAAATTCAAAAAGAGAAAATTTCAAGTTTTCACGCAAAACCACTATCATATTTGGAACCAGCATGGCAGATTACCTGCTACCCGCCTAAATACAAATTTTTACCCTAATTGGACTAATTTCCGTACTGAACGTTGAATTAATATCCTGATTTCGTGCACTGTAGGATGATGTCATATCTGTCGTGAGCAAAATCTGCGTCTTTGGTGCAAATTGGATGCAAATTAGCGTTGCTGACAGTTCATGACCTCTCATGTCCCCTGCTAATTTACATGGCGGCATGCCTTTCTGGGTAGATAAATTCCGTTCCCCGTTCTAGGAAGTTGTGGACAATCTCTGTTGAAATGCGGACCTCCACATCTGGAACAATCCACCTTTATCTTCCATACCGCATAACCATCGGGAGTTCCTTCCATATCCGTATTGTCCATCTTCGACGCGATGTAATTCTCGCATTCGCTGACCAAGTCCTCGATGGTCAGCGGTGTTTCATCCGTATGTGCATCCAGTCTGCGAATCATCCTGAAGCGATCGTCTCGCAATGACGGGTCTTGATGACCGGCTACAAATTGTAGCGTCTTCATTCCAGTATAGTCGAGCTCCTTGAGTCGAGTGTCCTCATCCATCCGCTTGATTGTGTTGGCGTATTCTCGGAAGGGTACACACGTCGGCGTAAGCGGTGGGCAGGTGACCAAGGCACTCGAATCTTCTTCTTATCATTGTGTTCTTGGATGCAAACAGCTTCTGAAGATTCGCGATGGTGGTGTCGAAGTCTAAGTCGTGTGGTTTCGCAGGTAGGACTTCATTTGCATGCTTCCGGTATGCTTCCTCGTCCAACTTCATGAACACCAGGTCACGCTTCTTGTTGTCTGGCAACAAGGACTCGCTTATGACCGGTCCGTACCTGCTGTATCAGTAGGCAAAGGTATTACCTGTGTTTTCATCGGAGGCGAACCTCTACACATCCTTGCTCAGCTGATCGTATTGATCCTTGCTGGCATCGTGTACGGCTACATTCTGGTTGTTGGCCAGAGTAGCGATCAGCATGATCATTTGGTCCTGTTAGGCTTGCATCTGGATCCGAACTTCTTTCTGCTGAAGCCGCATCTGCTCCATCATGCGTTGAGGACCTTCCCTAGATCCGCCGCATGCCGCTCTTCTGCAACCTTCGGCATGGCTCCGCTGCAACGCTGCTTCCCTCTCGTCGATCGATACCAGTTGTCAAATAGAACTTATCTGGAGAAGATATCCTTGAAGTCGACCGGAGGCTTCTTCTTCTCCTTGGTCGGCGGTGGAGCTTCTTCTCGTCCTCGGTTGGTGGTGGAGTTCTTCTTGTCCTTGATCCTGATCGCCAGTTGATGTGGAACGCGTTGAGCCGTTGACAATTTATTAGAAAAACACAAGAGTTCCCCCTCTGCCTATCGGCGTACATGCCCAGGGTTCACTACGAATAACTAGAGAACAACACACAAATATATCAAAGTGCGGCGGGTATGCCGCAACCATAGAGACCATATCGAACTAGCCTATAGTGAGCGAGCAAGTTCTAATATAAGGGACGGCTCTACAATTATTCGATTCGAAAACTTCCGTTTTCGAATAATATTCGATAGTCGAATATTCGAAATTTTCGATTTTCAAATATTATTCGATATTCGCATATTCGAGAAAAAATTAGAATTTTCCAAAGTATAATACACACACATACACACTCATACACACACACATACACACATACATACACATACACACATACACACATACACACATACATACACACATACATACATACACATACACGCACACATACACACACATACACACACATATACACATACAAAAACAAACTATGCCCAAATTTTTTTTTCAAAAAGTTGGGTAACTAAACCGGCCGCCGGGCCGGGAAGACGCCATTTTTCCGCTCCGACATGGTCCCTGCCGCCAGGGTCGTCTACAAGGACAGCATCTACAACCCGGACCCAGCACCTTCTATATAGTGTATTGCCGTGCACAATCGCTCGATTGAGGTCGGTCAAAGGGGTAACGGTCAAGAATAACGATAGCTCTGCCAGCCGCTAGCTGCCAGCTGTTCGCGCGCGCAGAACAACCCGTCTTCACTCATTTATGAAATATGGAAAAATGATCTAAATTTCAGTTCTTTTCATTGAAGTTCGTTTCCTACGTTAATTCATTGAAGCCTAGATAATTCGCATGCTGAACTGGGCACTAAACATTACTATCGCGAATTTATGGCGATGTGATTAGTGATTATTTCCATCCTTAAAAAATAGCAGAAGTCTTAACATAAAGCTTATATAAAGAAGCACAACGCTTCGGGCATTTACTGCTCCAAAATGTGGGGCCTGCGTAAACTCGTCCGCTGCTAGGGAGATGCTACTCGTACAGCGTCTATTGACACCCGGCCACTCAGAGTGCCACTATTGCCAGCTATCGTTATTCTTGACATGTACCCCGGTCAAAGTGCATCGAGGTTCGTTGGCGGCAGCCCTCTCCTTTTGGCCGACCCGCCCCTCCGTTGGAAACCCGCCCACTCGGTCAAAATGGCCCGCACGCTCCTGTAGGACAAGATACATACACATACACATACACATACACGTACACATACACACATATACACAACATGACATGCAACACACGGACAAAAAGACAGACGCTAAGCGCTTTATTATAAGTCATGATGAGATTTTGAAACTACTCTTTCATTAAAAGAAGCAATAAATGAGCTAATCAAACGTATGTATTATGTGTTAGATATACTGCAATTGATATGTCAATGTCGTAATCTTCCACGTCATTTCATTTTTTTAACGAACCCACATTTCAGAGAAGGGGAACGATTAAACGCATTCGGGGACAATTTTTCAATTTCTCACTATTGATCACTTAGTGTAGCTGAACACTAACCATTCGAGTGAGCCTTTACGTTAGACATGTCTACTTTAACATTCACAAACACAAAGACCTGCAGTTTACTGGACCGGACTCCAGAGAGTTGAGGAATCAACCGATTTTCTTCTCGATCTATACTATAGTATTGCTTTTGAACACTAATCAGAAGACAAAATAATGAGTTTTCCTCTACTTCGCTGCCCGCATTTAGGCCATAAAAAAGAGAGATCATTTCACCAACATTAAGTTTGTGCAAGTCGAGGAGGAACGGTCTTAATAGGTGTATGGAACTATGTATGGACTGGCTTGCAGCGCTGACCGTGTAATTACCAAGTGAAACATGCGCACTGTAAAAGCGAAGGAAGTGCGGTTATTGGTGCAGTGTGAGCCAAAAATATCTCACTGTTATTAATACCACTTCAACACAAATCATAGTAAGCGAGATGCGATAGGTTACTAGGTGGCAGCCCTACCCAATTCTGCTTGACCGGGATCTTGCACTGTCCGGCGCCCCGTTCACGCATCATGGGAGTAGGCACTTGCGTCTGACTGGATTACGACCTGTACGAGAACACTTGTCCGAACCTGAGATTGGTACATACCGCCGCAGTTGCCTCTTAAGGTTGAGCCAGAGTGCGTGGGGTAGGGGCGTACGTGACGTACGCAGCGTACGCTCGGTATATTTCATCATATGAGCGTACGCCGCGTACGCCGCGCCGTCTGGCTCAACCCTTATGAAGGTGGGGACAGCTCAGAATCGATAGTTTGAAGGCACCGTCTACCCAAAATGGGGGTTGGCGAGATTATGATGGCATACTAGTCTGAGCCCTCACACTAGGTAAACCCCCAAGTTGCGCTGCAAAATACTGCTTCCGGAGCGAGATTTCCGCTCCGGAATAGCAAAGTGGGCGGAGCGACCATGGTCACCCCGCCCACTTGCATGTTTACCTCGCCGGTGCATGTTGCAGGGTTTTCAAAACTGGGATTTTTGGAGGTTTCGCGGATTTTCGACTCCATATTCGTAATCAGGGCCTTCAAAAGGCCTGAAATAGACAGAAATATCGAAGTCGAGAATTTGGGTGGACGGTGCCTTTGAGGAGGGAGTTTTGTTCTGTTAAATTATTGAGAGTTCATGTCGATCCAGGAGTTCATCGCTTATGGAATTTTATGGTGAAATTTCATGGTGAGTAAACAGCTTACAAGGGAACGGTCAGAAATCGAAGTGGCCAATCCAGACAAGCTGCATATTATATGCAGAATATAACGCTGACTTCAAAGTTGTATTCCTTACCTGCTTAGCGACCTTGTGAAGGAAGTTCAAAGGCCATTATTTTGATAAAGAATCGTGCATGCAAAGCGCAAATTTGGCAGTACAGAGCCATTTTCGGGGCTTGTTGCTAGATCAAGTCATTCAGCTAGCTTACTTTATTTAAGCTTATAGGTGAACTGAAAGTGCTTACTGTGCTCGATTTCTCAATTTTTGCGTAGATTATCTCGCTATGAAACTGCATAACTTCGTCCGCAAAGGCGATTAGCAGGAAACAGATTCGAACTTAGCATTAAATGCTGCATCGAATGATAAGCTCACCCCAGCTTGCTTGGATTGACCACTTCGACTTCTAACCATTTTT